CTATCGGCGGCTGTCATTTCCCTTACACCTGCTCCTCCTTGTTCTCCCCGCATCTCTGTACCGATCGTGGATGTGGGCGGGCGGTGAGTGTGAGGCGGGGAGGAGGTGCTGCATGTGGAGTTTTTGATGCGGGTGGGCAGGGTCTGGCAGCGGCAAGCGTGAGGTGGGGAGGAGGTGCGGCGTGCAGCTTGTGTTGAGCCGTGAACAGGGCCAACTAATCAGAGGCTGATTAATCGATGATTGAAAAAGTTGACAACTTTTTCAATAATCGATTATAATCGATTATGTCGATTAGTTGTTGCAGCCCTACAGTATGCAGATTCTTCCTCAGAGGTCACTTCAGCCCTCTCGGAACATCTACTTCCCTTTGTGTATGTAAAGCTGGTGATCAGAGATGTATCACGTTTGCAGGCATGTTGATGGTGCTGGCTACAGCAATCTGCAGAGAACGAGCCCGCAGGAGACGTCGTTATTGGGTACACCCGATCTTGAGGCTCCGGGACTCCAAGGGTCAGTTCTGGAATTTGTATGAGGATTTGCGAGGTCACCCGGATACATTTTTTTCCTTTACTCGTATGACATCATAAAAAGTGGAGCAAGAATACTATTTTTTTTTTGCTTAGCTGCATTTGCTTAGCTTTCGCCGCGTTCGTGCGTTTCCGGATTGGACAAAATGTGACATGCACTATGCTGAACGGGCTGCGCACGTGAGAACTGTAGCCCATAAAACACATAGGGATACATTGGGATGCATTTTAAGTGCAGCAGCGTACGGATCAGGTCAGCACAGAAAACGGACGTCGTGTGAACGGGCCCTAATAGTGACATAGTTATCTCAGATATTGTCACTCCCTACTAGATTTGCCAGTTCTGGTCTAGAATAGGGCTACATTGGAAGCAATTAACCCACATATTGGCGATGTAACCACTTGTGAGAAGTCACCATATTACCACAATTAGCAATGTTGACTCTTCCCTGCATGTAGAGTTTACTATTTCGCTTGTCTCCATCATGTACATGCGAGTAGTTTTTATGTTGTACTCATTTTGCTTTAAATAAAGCATATCACACCAGGAAAGGGAGCTGTCCCTCTGTTTGTCTTTTACAGAAGACACCTTATGAGGCCAAAGAAACACCGGAGATTTTTAGTAGCTCAAAATGTTTGCACCGCAACCTCTGCAGAGAGAGAGAGCAGAACAGGCAGCTAAAGAAAACATTGCTGAGTTATGAAACGTATTAATATACATTTCAGATGGTTTTCTATGTTCCCCGTTACTTACTGTGACGCTATTTTAAAAGTCCTGCTTTATATAAACCAAGAGGACATGTCAGCAATATTAACTTTTCTAGCAAAAAGTTCCTTTCTTCACTTCTGGAGCTTCCTCAGATGGCTTTCTAGAGCATTTAAGATGTTTCATGTCATAACAAACTGCAATCTATAATTTAGTGCTTTACTGCCTCAACCGGAAAGCAGAAGCTGCATAAAGAGTAATAAGCAAATATGGTTGCTTCTAAGTACAAATACACCTACTAGACTTTACAAACAAATGTTCTTAAAAGCATTAATACACAGTACTCTACAGTCCACTATTTGCCAACAGCGCAGCCAGCCTAGGTCACCTCAGCCAGGAAAGATCTCGACAATATTGTCAGGATCCGCCCCGCTGCCTGATTGACAGCTGGCTCTGCCTCTCTAGAGCCAATGAGTGCTGGAAGAACATAGAGGGGAGGGGGGAAGCCACGCAGGGAGTGGTGACTGACAGCAGGAAGATCGTGAGCTGACCAATCAGCAGTTCGCGATCCCTCAGCTCTTGATCTATAGAGCGTGTGACACCTGCAGTGTCATACTGTACTCTGGCTCCAAGTATTGGGAAGAGTACATTTTACTCTCCCAATACTTATTTAAAAATCAGGATCAGGCAAGCACTTCCAGAGAACTACTGCCCTTCTTTCCTACGTTCTGGCAACTGTTCTGTCACTGCTCACTTTTTGCTGTGCACCTTCCATCAGACACTGGTGAGCGTTAATTGTCAGAGACGTTAGGAATGTAAACCTCCCTATGTGCAGACCTTGACCCATTTAACTAATAAAAGTCCACTAAAAGACTTACACTTCAGCTAATCACTTTCATGTCTTTACCTAAAAATCTTTAAAACCTATAGATCTTTTTTAACCACTTTGTGACAGCTAAGGATGAGAGGACTTCCTGGGTTTGATTTATAGGTAGGGGGGGTCAAATCCTGTGTTGTCTGAAAAACCCAATCTTAAACGCAAACCCCCTTGAAGTCCATGGGGGGCAAATCTTGATAATTTGGCCATTTTCAAGGATAAAAGGCAAGGGATTGCATGTACCAATGTCCCCCAATTTCATTTTAACTGATGTACATAGGGGGGGAAGAGGGGTCCTCTTTGTAAAGGAAAAGTATTGGGAGTGTAAAATATACTCTTCCCAATACTTAGAGCTGGCACGGGACACTGCAGCTGTCACATGCCAGCTCTATCTACCTACAGCTAATCGATCATGTACCCGCTGATCACTTGGCTCACAGAGATCAATGATGGTCGCTCACTGCTACACGGCGACAATGGCTCACAGGAGTACACCCATAAAAAGGAGGTTTGGCTTTTCTTATCTCTTAATGCAGGTAAAGATTTGTAATCTGTATTACAATATTGATTTTTAAAACAAAGGTGCAGTCATACATGAAGATAGATTTACAGCATGCTTGTTGGATAGCATCAGTAGCAGTACTAGTTAGCACTTGATGTTCAGTCGTTCTTTTAATGCTCTTTGAATTAGCAGTGTAGAAGGGAGTTCACACACTATACATTTAATCACAAAATGCAGAGTATCCACAATGTACAATCTAAGATAACACATGTATACTTCTATACACATAAAAGTAAGTAAACCTCTGCACTCCGTTGACAGGTCTACAGCAATTTGCTCAACAAGCTATTGAATGCAAAGGCCTATGCTCAGAACTTGCATATTAAAGAGGACGATCCATTTGCAGGATATTCTATAATGTAAGGCTCCGCTAGTGCATCAGCTGCACAAACATTTGATTAGCACTAACAAACTCCACATTTACAGTGTAAATTGCTATGCATTTTAAGCATGGCGTTCGGATGGCTGTCTTCAATTACTACATGTATGACAGCCGGTGGGAGGAACCTCTCTGTGTATTGTGTGAAACAGGAATTCTTTTCACTGAAGAATGTCAGGGTCTGGGAAGAACCTGAGTGCTAAGCTACACTGTGGCTAGGTTCACACCATTTTCCGGACCAGATCTGGAACAGTGCATTGCGTTTTGCCACGTTCCAGAGCTGGGTTTTTTTTAAGTTAAAAATGGGTTTCCAGGTTCATTCCAGTGTGTTTATAAAGTGTTTCTAAAGTGTTTCCATGCGTTCCAGACCAGACAAAATGAGACCTGCAGTATTTTTCTGGTCTGGAACGGACTGCGCTGGTGTGAACAGAGGTCATAAATAGCATAGGGATACATTAGGATGTATTTTGGGTCTGGAAACAATCTGGATGTGGTGTCAATGGGCCCTGTAGCTTTATGTTGCTTCTCAGGGCCCATTCGCACCACATCATCTCCAGACCAGATTGTTTCCAGACCCAAAATACATCCTAATGTATCCCTATGCTATTTCTGGTCTCTGTTCACACCAGCACTGTCTAGTCCAGACTAGAAAAATACTGCACGTCTCATTTTGTCTGGTCTGGAATGCAGAAGAATGCATCAAAAATGCATAGAAACATGAAAATGTACTTGAACGGACCAGACCGCAGCTGAAAGCCCATTTTAAGCTAAAAAAAAAAAGACTCCCAAAAATCCAGCTCAGGAATGTGGTAAAAACAAGGTTAAAACGCGGCAAAAGGCTATGCACCACGTTCCAGATCTTGTCTGGAAAATAGTGTGAACCTGGCCTAAAATTGCCTGCACTCAATCATGAAAAATGAGTGGATTGCTTACTTATTGATTCAATAGTTTTTATGATCATCAAATTGGGAACGGATGTTATTATTTTCTCCAGTTTGGTCAATGATGCCAAGCTGAACACATGCAATGCAGAGATCATTCCATTTTTTAAAGGAAGGCAACTATATATGAAGAAAAAAAAAAAAATCTGAAACATTTTCTAACATACTGGAAAATTTTGAGGGAGCAAAGTAGTTAACGACTCGACTATTGATAACTATATCTAAATTGGTTGCATCAATTGTAGATTTCAGGTCAGGTAAAGGTTTGATTGGCCACACCCCTTCAATTCTTAAAGGAAAAAAATATGCTTTAACCCTTGCAGTGGGGCTACCCCAACACTGCAAGGGTTAACTGCTCGTTTGTGTCTAGGTTAAAAGATCTACTCACTCAAAGCTCTGAGCAGGCTTCTTCTCAGACCATTCCCTGGACTGTCTCTCCCGCTCCTCTGCAGCGGTCTAAAGTCCAGTAAATAAATCAACGTCTATGCGCTGTACAGACACGAGAACGCTGTGGAACATTCCAATCTGCTGCTGGGGAGGGGACAGGCTGGAAGAAGTGCAGTGACAGCTGGCCAGCTCGGAACTTTGAGCGAGTATATCTTTGTTATTTCAGCACCTAGACACAAACAAGCGCTTAACCCTTGCAGTGCTGCGGTAGCCCCACTGCGAGTGTTAATAAAAAATTCCTGGAGTTCATCTTTAATGTCCCAAACAGAAGAGAGCCAATAGTGGGTGAGGGGACTGTTTGAGTGCTTTGTACACTGAAAATAAAGAGATGTTCAGTTCACTTGTCTCTTGTCTGAGCAACATTTACTTGCACTGGCTTCAGTACAAAATTTAGAAAAAATAAAATAACAAAATGAGTGAAAGATCTCATGAAAAGATGCTATAAATGTCCATGTCCAGAGTAGGCTTAGTAGTTTGCACTATTAATAGCTCTGTGTTTCTGCAAATCTGTGTTAAATAAAAATTGTCAATCAGTCATTAACCGAAACGTGCAGAAATGTGTAAGAAACTAGTTAAAGTTTAATATGCTATGGTCACACATGCTTGTCTCCCTTTAAATACTATTCACAGTCCGTATGGATATTTAAGCTAGTCCATATGAAGCTATTTAAGCAAAGTCCGATTTGATCTCCGAAATCGGCTCTTCATCATCACAAGAAATGGGTAACGCCAGGGTCTCCAGATCTGCAGCATCAAGTTATCCAAGCAAGAGATCATCGATGAATGCATACAAATATCAAATAGAAATATTACTTTTCTCACAATATTAATACACTGAATGGAATGCGCAGTGACGAAGGTTGGAGATCAAATTTCAAGGAGGCACCGAGGTAGGAAATCGCACAAAGTTGTCACATTTCATCATCCAGACCATAATCCTCTTCTGAGAAATCCCCAACAACCACATGCTGTGGTTTGACAAAAGCGCCATACTTTGGACCACATTCGAAGTAACTCTTTCCTTCAACGCTGCACAAAAAAAATTAAAAATAAACTTTTATTAGACATAGAAATAAACACGGACTATTAAAATAATACAGCTAGGGATGTAGATCTTGTAGGCGCAACCCTACCCCTTAGGGTTATTTGTTTGCTAAGCACTGCAGAGCACTCCTATCAATGGAGAGGGAAGGGCAGGAGGTGGTCATCATGGGGGAACAACTGTGATTGGAAGGGTTTTCTAACTCATTGGTCGCCAACTGGTGGTGCACGAGAACATTTTGGTGGTCCCCAGGCCCCTCTGATGCCGTGCAGGCTGGGCCATCATTGAAGTGGTACGGAGGCCCCGGGGCTGGCTCTCACTGACTCAAGTGTGGCTCTCAGTCCAGTGCGGGCTCTGCAGGAGGCGGGGCATCTTGTCAGTACCCGTACTGAGCAGGCTGTGGGACATAGAAAAAGAGGGGAGAAGCCAGGTAATAGTGGCTCACTGTGGGGGAAGGGGAGCAGTGCTGAAGCTAGGGGGGGCATGTCCCCCGGGCGCCGCCGGCAGGGCCAGTGGCAGATTCGATGAGGGGGAAACAATTAATATTATTAAACCAGCACTGGTGTGTGTGTATAAAATTATCATACTTTTTGTTTACTCATGTATGTACACACACTTATATTTTTAAAAAATTCATGTTAGTGGTCTGCGGGATTTAAAATTATGAATTTAATTCCATGAGATCCAAAAGGTTGGCGACCGCTGGTCTAACGTGTATGATTACTTTTTTCCTGACAGACTGGCCAGCAGCTGCATCAGGGAAAATCTGGCCAAGCAACATAGGATAGGTTCCAGGAAAGTTGTAGTTACAGAAATTTGCAGACTACTATTCCTGACCTCTGTCAAAATGCTAGTTGTCAGCTATTAAAGCATTTTCAGAAAGAAAGGTCAGCAATGGCAGCCTACATATTTCTCCCTGCATAGTGCAAACTAAGGCCTCATTCACACTGGCAGTGTCAAACCTGCATTTATATGACATTTCCAAACACGTGTACATGCATGTTATGATTTTTTTTGAATGGTACCTTTTAGGGATGCACCGATACTAGTATTGATGCCGATACCTACTATAATGCTCCGATACCTATCCCGATACCGTAACTTCCGGTATCAGCAGTGAAGCCAGGCGGTGAGTGATTACACGCTGCTCGTCTTCCCGATTGGACGTGAATACGGCTCATTGCTCCCTCGTCAGCATTGAGCTGACTTCCCGGCCTATAAGGAAGCTGGGGTGGCGGGTAATGATTCATCTCCGGCTTCCTGATTGGCCATGGAGCAGTCTTCCCGGCCAATCAGGAAGCCGGATGGCGTGTAATGATGGCGTCTGGTTTCCAGATTGGTTGGGAAGCCAGGCACCGAGTCATCACCCGCCCCCCGGCTTCCTGATTGGCCACAAAGCCGTCTCCATACGTCCTCGTCAGCTGGTGAGGAGGGCGCATGGAGCCAGCTTCCCTGCTAATCAGGAAGCTGGGCGGCGAGTCATTACACGCCACCCGGCTTCCTTAATGGGACAATATCGGTATTTAGCAAGTACCAAAAGAATAAAAATATCTGTACTCTTACTCAGTAAAACTGACCTATACAGACCTGGATAACTCCTCCTTAACCAGACAGCTCAGTTCCTAGTTTCAATCAGACAAAGCCAGCCATGAGGCAGGCTTCTTTTGCTCATGACACATAGGGCTTTAGATAGAGCTCTGGGAATCCTTTGTCATGCATGGTTTGTAAAAGAATGATTGCATACAAGAAAAAGTTTAAACTTAAAAAAAATTACCATAAACCATTATAGTTTGCCATTTAAGCAGGACAGAAAGACAAATATTTCTGAGTCTCTGCTTAAGGGGGTCAGCTAATCTGAATATCAGCTACCAGTGTGTGTTTAGAGACATAAAGATCTCTCTGCTGGCTCATTTAGGGTGGACTTAAACCGTTTTACCCCAACCTGCAGCAGAAATATTTCTTACCTTCCATTGTGCTTCCCCAAAGGTTCGTCATACTTAATGCCAACCCAGTACCCTGGTTTAAAATCAGTTAGACCTATAAAGAGATGAAATCACAGCAGGAAATCAGAAAGGTGGCCCAAGAATTCCACATTATTAGATACAGTAACAGAGAATCTTACTTTACAGTCACGCTCCTGAGTAAAACTAATAAAAGATACAGAATTTTTCAGATTACTTACCTTTATATTGGAATCCTAGAAATGATTTATTATGGTAGCCGGTCATGTGGTCTCTGCTAGGGAAGATTTGAACTGCGAACTAAATCTGGTACTCAGAATATCATCTTTTTCACTTAATTTAATAAGAACCATGTGACAAATACCTCTCCACTGTTTATGTGACCAGCACCGGACTGACAAACATTACTGTTTTCAGCACTTACTCTCGGGGGGTTATGAGCTGACCAATTAAAAGACAATTGTACCAAAAGTGTATTTGTCCTTTAACCACTTCAAGACCAGGTGTTTAGACCCCCTTCCTGGCCAGGCCAGCCGGCCCGGAGGTGGTTAAGGTTTGTTAACTCCTGTGGGTGACCATTCTACTTCTTCGTTCTATCACCGTTTATACCAAAAGACCAGTATATTTGACATGTGTTGTCTCTCTTTGCAGGAATCCTACAAGTTTGGTTCAGTGTACGAGATTTACAATCAAATTCCAATCTTATCCCAGGATTTCACATTTCGATTTTTTTATTTTTATTAAATGAATGCGGGGTGGTTGGTATTTTGACTGAAGCATCTAAGAAACATCTAAAGCTGGCCATACACCTATAGATTATCTGCAGATTGAAAAAGTGCAGCAGGTTCCTCCCTCAACACTAAACTGTGTGGATGGAGGAATCTCCCACTGGGCCAAGCTTCAGTATCTTGCTAGTCGGCCCCGCTGGCTCTCATAACACCTGAAAAATGCCTGCATCCAATCAGACTGTTCAGGTGTTTTGACAGCCAGCGGGGTCGACTAGCAAAGATACTGAAGCTTGGCCCAGTGGGAGATTCCTCCATTCACACAGTTTAACGTAGATGGAGGAATCTGACCATAGAAAATCTGCAATTAATCTATAGGTTTATGGCCAGCTTAAGGACATTCAGCCGGTCATGCACAGAACGCATCTACCCGCATCACAGCAGCACCGCTGGGGGTCACTAAGATGCTGGGGCATGCCTTCATTTCAAAGTCTTTGTGCCCTCCCAAAGCTGATTACTCACCAACATACATGACTGTGCCCCGCTTAGTAGGCTGTCCGGCGGCCCGCACCTCACATCGAGATCCTGTTGTAATTGTTTCAGCTGCCAGCTTCTCCTCCTCCAGCTTGCGCTGCTGCTCTGCCGCCTTCTCAGATGCCTCCTCCTCATTGAACTTTCCCATCTTATTCCGCTTTAGGAAGGACCGTACAGACTCTACAGGAAAAGGAGACAACAGATTTGAAGAACATTCCAGAATACACGGATTAGTTTGCCAAAATGTAAGAAAGAACTATAGAGTCAACATACAGGCAAACCTAATAGTGGTACAAGGAGAAATACTGCCTTGGCTAACACACACCTACAAGACGTCAGCTTCAATCAATCCTAACAACTGATGCTGTAGGAGCTATGCTACTTTAGTGATCTCATCACTGGTACCAATGTGCCAAGCAAGAGAATCACTAGTGACAACTTACCTGAGCTAAAGCGATGCTGCCTTGCTGGACAAAATGATGCACATTCTCGCTCCTCACTAAATCGATCAGCAGTAGAGGGACAACTCGGTTCAGCCAGCAGGGGAGCAATGCTATTGCTAGAGCGTTGCACTGCAGAATAATGCAGCCTGCCCCATGTTCATATGCGTTGTGGTGCATTTCAGCCTATTCATTTTGAATTAGCTGCTTAACACACCACAGCATGTGCCAACACATGACAATGCATGCCTTGCAGAGACGAGCTCTGTAGTGTGAATGGGCTTTAAGGGGACACCTCTGCTCTGACCTGCCTAAAACTAGCCATGCGCTGGTCGAATTTTGTCCAAATAATTCGGCCAAAATCCAACTAGTGTGTAGCCCCGTTGGCACCCCACAGTTCCACAAATGTTAATTTTTATTTTTTAAAAAGGAGCTGGCCTGAAAATTCGGTTGGGGGGGGGATGGGGTAATCAAGTGTTTTTCAAATTTTTTTTTTCTTATGCCCAGCCATAGTCTTTTTTTTTATCTCCTGCCTGAGCTAAGTGCTCATAGCGGCTGCTCTCTCTGGGTCTCCTCAATTGCAGTCACACAACTGTCAAATAACAAAGGGCTTAGCAAGCTTACAGGAAGAAAACTGAGGCCACCCACAGACTTTACAGGTATTGTGCTGGTAAACGTGACCACTCTAAGGGAAAACCGTCTTGACAGAGCCCTGGTGACATGTTGTGTACTCAGCTCTGGTGAGATCTGTACGCAGCCCTGGTGACATGTTGTGTATTCAGCTCTGGTGACATGTTGTGTATTCCGTGAGATCTGTACGCAGCCCTGCTGAGAAACTGCCCTAAAATCATTAGTCTGTATTGTTTTAGAAAAAATATCACATGCCCCTTTAAGAAAAAGTAATCGATAATTGGTATCGGCAAGTACCTGAGGGAAAGTATTTGGTCTTGAAAAATTTTTATTGGGACATCCCTAGTGAAAACTATGACATAAAATAAGTAAAAACAAAAGGAAGGATGGAAATTGGATACAATACAGTGCTTTAGCAAACCAAATGGCAATCCTTTAGGGTGCACATCTACTTTATTTGCAAGAGGATGAATATCACATCAAACCTGATCGTTTCTCATAGGCATCATCTGAAAGTTCAAATTTCTCCACTCTGGACAGATCTTCAAATTGCCCAACCTGAGCTCCACTCTTATCTATCACCTGTAAACAAATAATGGTTACTTACCATTTTATTTTTAAAATAATCTAAATATTCTTAAAGCTTGCATGGGGATACTTCAGGAGCTTGTGTGGTTACTCACGTGGATTCTGCAGCCATTGTCCACAGGGTAAGAGCCCAGTAGTGCATCATCCTGGTCCAGGTTCTGGATAAAGTTATTGTCTATACTGAATAACTTTAAGTCCATACAAGAGGCCGGAGACCCGACCACCAGCTCTAGCTTGCCCTGCAACAACAAGACCATTACAAACCAATAGATTAGTTTTCAAGCAATATAATCCAATCTGTAGTTGAAGCATATTTAGCAAATGTAAATCTGCCTACTGGTTTTCTATATGCACTTTTCAGGGATCCTAAATTAGAACTCTGGGCAATGTGTTGAATACACAGTTGAAATAAATATGCATCTACTATTTTATCTGCGAAAGAATTGGTAATATTGTTCAGCCATTCTTGTGAAAATCCACTGATTACAGCTATTCTCCCCACCCCAGCACAGCCGCTGCAGCTTCTCTGCCTAACACTTAAAGCAGCAGTAGAAAATAAATAGAAATGCAAAAATGGGAAAAATTGCAAAACCGGTGCGGCCAGCTGAGGTTTAAAGCATTAAGCAGGGCTTGGCAGCGAAAGGGTTAAAACTATTCCATGCGCAACTATTTTCTAAATTTCCATTTCCTCGTGTCATAATTTAAATGAATTAGGTTTTTCAGGCATAAAAAAGTACTTTTTGGGCTTGTTGACACCATGTCCGGATCATGTCCAGACCAGAACAGTTTGTTCCCGGACCAAAAAAAAGCATCCCAGTGTATCCCTATGGTATTTCTGGGCTCTGTTCACACCAGCGCAGTCCATTCCGGTCCTAACAAAAAAAATAGAGCTTGTCTCATTTTCTCTGGTCTGAAATGCACTTGAACGCATCAAAAACGCATGCAAACGCACTGGTCCACACCCGAAAGCCCATTTTAAGCTAAAAAATAAAAAATTAAGAATCTCGCTCCGGAATGCGGCAAAAAAAATTGCTTTTAAAATGCGGCAAGCATTCTAGATCTGGTCCAGAAAATGGTGTGAACCTGGCCTAAAAGAACATGCCATGCCTGCACAAAGCATTTAAACAGTGCTGGCTTGTAGTTGGGAATTGCCTTGTGTACCAGATTATATTCTGTGAACGTGGGCGCCCTGAGACTTCATCTCCCATGATTTTTAGCTGTGCAGAGGTAGTGGGCAGTTTTGGCCTTAGGTGGGGCTTGGGCACAGATGTGGGCAGCTTCTAATTTCCATCGTTCTACGTGGGGAAAAACTGGGGCATCTAGATCATGGGTCTACCCTTCAACACGCCAGTGCTGTCTTTCCAAGATATGAAGGGGCAGTTAGGAGACCCGTCACCCTGCACCAGGAGAGTATGCAATAGTAACTGGTTGGCATAGAATGAAATGCCTGTAAAGAGAGGGTGCAGTCTACTCTGCAGCAAGATTTCTGGACACTTGCCATGAAGGAAACAAAAATGTTTTACATTAAGGTATGACTAGACATTTCTGAGGTAATAAAGTATAAATTATTGTGCCCTATAAAATGTATCTGGTATTCCCACCAGTCATCTGTTTATAAAGGCAGTCACAAGTCTACACATTCTTCACTGCAGGCAAATGCAGACATAGTAGACATGCTGGTAGGTGAATTGGCTCCTCTCTAAACTAGGGGGCCGACCAATATGGTTTTTTCAGAACCCATACTGATTATGGGCCACCTTTCAGGCCGATAACAGGTACCGATATTCTGTTTACATCCTGCTGCAGAATCTTGTACCGGCAGCTGAATGTAAACAGCAGGCACTGGGCCTGATATCAGTGAAGGGGAGCCTCCGTCTGCCGATGGCTAGATTCCACAGGGGGGGTGAAGGGAACAAGGATACCTGCTCTTTCTTTTGTATTGTGACAGCGAGCTACCGGCTCTGTTCATACAGATTTTCCAACTGGCTCCTCTGGACAGCTGAACGAAGGATGCCGGCTGAAAGTGTGCCGACAGCGGAAGCCACTGTCCGAATTTCGACCAGTACTTCAGGAACCGCACCAAATTCGCACAGTGTATGACTCTCTTTATTTCGATAAATTTAGAAACTGATCATTTAACCCTTTCATGGCTGACGTACAGTGTACGTCACCAGCATCGGGGCTGTTTAAATAGACTCCCGGCGGCAAACTGTTCAAAACTTGTAAAGCCGACAGTCGGCTTTACAATAGAAGCGATAGCGATTCTGGCAACTCAGCTGTCTCCTGATCGCTTCTACGGCCCGGTGAAGGGGTGCCCCCCCCCCCGTCGTGCTTCCCGGGCTCCGTTGCCCCTCCTATGGGCCTGGGACCGGCTTCTCTGGTGTCGGTGGGGAGGAGATGGACGAACCTCTGTTCCTCGATCCCCTCCCCGTTCTGTGGGACCGGGAGTGATGCAGATTGCATCACTTCTGGTCCCATAGCTGTCAGTGCTGGGCTCCTGAAGCCCAGCTATAAGCTATTGAAGTGCGATCTGAGTGTAAAGGTGACACTGGGAGTCTTTTGGACCCCCAGCATCACCTTAAAGATTACCTGTCACCGCCATCTGCTATCACATTGTAAGCCCCCCTATGTGATAGCAATTAAAAGTACATTTTTTTTTAGAAAATAACAGTTTTTAAAATTAACATGACATAAAATAAATTAAAAAAAAACTGAAAGTTCCCCGCGAGCACATGCGTCGCTACGTAAACACGCGTCGGATGCGCCTACGTACGAAAACGACGAATGCGCTACACATGTTGGACATCGCGTGAGAGCAATAATTGTAGGGCCAGTATTTTGGGGTATCTCTATTAAACAGCCCCGATGCTGGCGACGTACACTGTACGTCATCAGTCACGAAGGGGTTAAAGCGTCTATGGACTTTTTGGGGTACTGAAGTTTGTTGCCGTTTCACAGACGCACACCATTTTTAACCTGGGCATGTTGGGTATCTATTTACTCGTTGTAACCTCATATTTTATTTAAAAAATTGGTATTTTATTGTGTTTTGGGCATTTAAGTAAATTTTTCACTAAATTTTGGGGTTTGATAAGGAGTTGCGCTAATACCATGCAACATAGAAATTTGCAACTGCCACCATTTTTTTTCTAAAGGGTCTTTGCTTTTAGACTAGAGCTGCAGCTAACGGTTATTTTCAAAAATCGATTAGTTCGCCCATTATTAATGTCAATGAATCAGTTAAATCGGATATAAAAAAAAAAAATACATTTAAAAAAATGGCTCCAGTGCTGGGACTACTAGGTTTGTATTGAGATTGCAGTCCATCACAGGAGCAAGCTTGGAGCGGTGGAAGTAAAAAAAAAAAAAATTGTGGTGTGCAATATAGTGAAATGGAAAGTATAAAATTATACAGCAATGAAAGCAGAATGGCCTCGGCTATAGAGGACTACAAATCCCAGCAATAATATATTATACAGCACAATGCAGAATACCACCAGCTATAGGAGTACAAATCCCAGCAATAGTACATTATAGCTGGCGGTATTCTGCATTGCGCTGTATAATGTACTATTAATGGGTTTTGTAGTCCTCTATAGCTAGTGGTATTCGGCATTGCACCACTGTATAATGTATTATTGCTGGGGTTTGTTGTACTCCTCTATAGCTGGTGGAGCCATGAACAGGGCCAACTAATCGGAAGCCGATTAATCGATGATTGAAAAAGTTGACAACTTTTTCAATCATTGATTATAATCGATTTAGTCGATTAGTTGTTGCAGCCCTAT